TAGACTTGGGCATTGTCGTTCACTTAATGGATCTAGTTCATCAAATCTCGTTCCGTCAAGTGAACTCGTTCCGCTAACTCGTTCCACAGTTCATTTCGCTCCGGAGTTGATTTGGTAGGCTGGTCAGTCAGTACTACTGGAGCGAAATGAACTGTAGAATAGACATGTTTTCGACCGAGTCCGGATTTGGAACTTGTTTAGCTATTCGTTCATAAACTGTGAACTATAACAATAAGATACGTCACGTATGAAATTCAGTTATAAAATAGATTCGATTTCCCTTCATACTTTTTTCAGGCTTAGGACTGACAATTAAAGTGACTCATATGAATTAATAAACCTACTTTTCACTTTAAAAATCGACTCTATTTACAATATTTTTTTTATGTTTCTTTTTTTTGTTTTCTCTAATCACATGTATGAATTATTAAACCCATTTTTAATGTTAAAAGGCGTAAGTATTTAAAAATCGACCCTATTTACAATTTCGTTTTTTTTTAATTTTAATTCTAAAAATTCTGAAAAAAACGTAAAAGATTAAAAGTAACCTTTTCATTCGTGTAACCTAAAAGTAACCAAAGCAGTTCAAAAATCACCTAACAGGTTACAAAAGTAACCTTGTGGCAACGCTGCTCTCGTTCCTACCTACACACACTGACGCGGGCTTGGACTAGAGACGCGGGAATCGGGATTATAATGAGCCGGTGAACGACAGAGTAAAATAATATACCTATACAGGAGCTGGAGCGGTGAACTGTGGAACGATAATTCCGCACAGTACTGAATCAGTTCAGTTCGTTCACTGTGTTTGAGCAGTTCATCGGAACGAATCGCTCCGGAGTTACTCAAGCCTAGATAACTATTGGATATTGCAATAACTACTCTAAAACATAACAAACAAGGTACGTTTTGTGTAAAAGTTTCAATTCAACAACCATTAGTGTAATATGTTAAAGTTTATCTGGAAACCTTGAAAAAATCATAATTGAGCCATAAGTATATGATCAGACACACTATTTCATTAATATACCTCTACATCTGATGATTTCTATTTACTGTGTTATCTTTTGAGTTATTAGATTTCCGTAATAAACTCGTAAATATTGTTTATAGAAAATGAAAACCAATCTAAATGATGAACAAATTTTTTATATTATGTTATTTTAAATGTTTAATTACCTAGTAGAATTAAGTTTATTTAAAAACTTACTCCTCAATATTTTGATAATATTGTTAGTACCATCAAAAAGAAAATTGAATAAAAGTTTCTATTTTAGATACACTATCTGTCAATATGGAACTTCTAGATATTATGAAAAACTTAACTATTAAACATGTCCCAAGTGAAAGTGAACAGCAGTTGTTTAAGTCCATTGCTGCAAATATAGATGATGTACCTACAGAAGTAGTATATGCAGAGTATTCTGATAAAATTATGCTTATTGTATCTCAATATCACAAGATTGGAAGCATGCTAACCATAAAAAAAGAGCAAGTTTTTGATGGTTCTGTAGTTACTGGTTCTTTTTATACAACAAAAGTTATTTTTGGTGATGCAGGAGAAGAGCAAAGTGTTGCAGCAAGATACTTGGCGGAAGCAATTAAAATTACAAAACCACTAAATATTTTTATAAATCTCAAATCATATGACATTGCAACAGTCAAAGCTTGTGAAGAAGTAATATTAAATTTAATCAGTAAAAGAGAAGCTTAAAATGGCTACAGCAAGTGCAAAAAGATTTAAGTCTGTTCAAAAATACTATGGTCAGCTGGTTTTGGGACCTCCAGGTGCAGGAAAAACAACTTACTGTGGAAAAATGTCAGAACTTTTGAAGAAACTAGGAAGAAATGTTGTGGTAATTAATTTAGATCCTGCTAATGATGTAACATCTTACAAACCAGACATTGATATTAGACAACTAATTGCTCTTGAAGAGGTGATGGATCAACACAACCTTGGTCCAAATGGAGCTTTATTATACTGTATGGAGTTTTTAGAAAAAAATATTGGTTGGCTGCTGAGTCAAATTAATGGTGAAAATTACACCAACTACATATTTGACTTACCTGGGCAGGTAGAGCTGTATTGTCACCATAAAAGTTTAAGCAACATATTATCTGAACTTGGTAGTGTTGGAAATCTACAATTTTGTGTTGTCCATTTAGTGGACTCACACCATTGTTCTGATGCTGGAAAATTTATTGCAGCTTTAATGTTATCATTGAGTGCAATGTTAAAAATTGGACTGCCACATATCAATTTACTAACAAAAGCAGATTTGTTAAAAAAGCATATGGACAAACTGCAGTTTGGTATAGATTTCTATACAGAAGTATTGGATTTAAATTATTTGCTTGACAGTTTAGATACTGATGCATTTACCAGCAAATATAAAAAATTGAACAGTGCCTTTGTTTCCATCATTGAAGACTATAGTTTAGTTACTTTTCAATTAGTTAATTTGTATAAAACTGAAAGTTTACTTAATATTCGAAAATTAGTGGATAAGTCAAATGGATATGTGTTTAAAGCTGAAGAGGGTAGACACATAAACAGTATGTTAGCTTGTGCTATGGGTGTCAGTGAACCAATTGACATTAATGAACTTGAATAAAATGTGTTGACTTAATTTTGTTTTTTTAATGTCACCTTGAATTTATTTTCCGTAAAATTTTCAACAAGGTACTTTTATAAGGATTTTATATCCGATGACGCGGCAAACTTCGAGCATCTCGCAGTCAGCTAGCAAGTTGACTCGTCAAACAATATAAAACTGGGTAAATATAGACAAAAGAGGAAGAACTAGGTACAACAAACTATAAAGAATTCCCTAACATTTAACCTAACTGCCTCTATTTACACTTACGGTACGCAAGTCGTAAACAAATAATTAATCCACACTAAACAATAAAAATGTAATTATTAGTGTCCGACCGAAAGACTATTTTTGGCCGAAGCTGATTAACGATTAACCGGCAATCGCCAAAACCTTCGGCTTCCGACAAAGGATTATAATTTCCCAGCAACTAATTTTGTTTAGTATTGTCTACAAGCTAAAAATTAATATAAAAATTATTTAAAAACTTCTATATTGAAGATTTATATTGACTATCTCATATAGAAGTTGATTTGGAGATAGAGATAGTAATTTGTAGCCATTTGTACACTTACGAACTAGTCTTGACGCGCATGTAGAGGATTCGATCCCGGGATCCCGAAGCCCGGGATCCCGGGATCCCGATCAAATTTCGGTCCCGTAATTTTCGGGATTATTTTTTAAGTATCCCGGGATTTTCGGGATTGGAATTTATGCTCTTACCAATGCATTTTGAGATTCATTTTTGTGATGTAGAATAAAAATATGCATGAAACGAAGCGAAACGCACGTTAGAAGTTTTAACGGCCATCTTGTTTACACATCTGATTTCATTTGTAATTGCTAACGGATCTTTTTGAGATCATTAAACAAGAAATGAATCTTTATGAAGCTAGTTCCACACAAGGTTATAATTCTTATAAAAAATTATTACGTTATATACTTATAAAAAATTATTCACGATTCCTCCAACTTCCATTGAGCCTGAGCGCGCTTTTTCTGCCTCTTCATATTTGTGCAACAAATTAAGAAGCAAGCTTTCTGATGAGTCGTTGGATGCTTTACTATTTCTTCGATATTATTTTCGAAGTTGAAAGAAATAATTTATAAATTACCTTGTATTACTGATCTCTTTAGAATTAAGTCATTTTTAATTTTTATCTAAACAAGTGTTTAGAAGTTGATTTTTTAAAGATTTTATGTGAATCAAAATAAACAAACTATTACACTAAGTAAAGAAGTTCCTTGTTTGTTTGTTTATTATTTTATTAGAAGAAAATATTATTTTTGTTTCGTTTTTTGTAGATTGAACTGATGATTAATAGTTGATTTTGATATATATAAATTACTGTCTTTCTGTTACTTCTTTCTATCCCGGGACTGTCCCGGGATCCCGGGATTGACTTTAGATAATCCCGAAATCCCGGGATTGGAAAAATGGGCCGGGTTTGAATCCTCTACGCGCATGCCATGTGATAGGTATATAATTGACACTGACAGTGACTCCCCGCGGTCTTTGCAAACACGACTGGTCAGTCGCTCTCTCACTCAGAATTTATTTCGTAACAGTTCGGTTAATCTTGACGGTTGCTCGGACCTGCGGCGGCTGTGGCCAAAACCAGGCCGAAGCCGAAGGTTTCGCCGAAGATGGCCGATACCGAAACTTCAGTCTGAAGATACTAGTTATTATCATCATATCATTTAAAATTATCAGCAACATAATACTGTTTTTATTGGCTGCTGCTGGCTTTTCAGTACTATCGAGATCTTGATTTAAATTGGCATGGCCAAGTATGGCCAGGAAGCAATTTGGTTGTCAGTTGGTCAGTCGCATACAGTCTGAACTCAAACAAATAGGTGCTGCATTAACTTTGTGTAAACAACCTTTCGGGGACGGTAGAAAAAAACCTCGTGATATTCTCATGTTACCTCTATTTTGAAAAGGACAATTATTATTTGACAGGTAGAATGTCCAGAAACTTGAAAGAAAATTACAACAAACTCATTGAAATGGAAATGGAAATTGATCAATTGCTAAGTGAGAAAAAATATATCCAAGTTAAGCTGCTCCACCAATACAACGATATTAAAGATGCTGCTCAGATTGTTATTAGTCATATAGCCAATTTAGAAGAAACTACAATCACAGAGGTTCACAAAAGACTAAAACTAAAGGAATGAAATAAAACATACTTTCATATTAATGGAACGTTTTATTTGAAGACAAATACAACTCTTTACAATTTAAATTTTATCCAAATTTTGAGTTCATAAATTAATGAACAATTTTTAAATTTCACATTGCGGGTTTACGTACGTAGGTTCTTAAGTTATAAGTGTTTTCAAAAAGCCACGGTTCCACGTTTGCTACTTCAATTACGAAAAATGTATCTTTAACATGACAAGTATTCTAATATATTTTGATTATTATATGTTGATAATCATGACCATTGTCAGCAAACAAAATGTATTAATGTAGATAGTAAAAGTTATCATATTGTTGAGAATAATCTAAACTATAGTGAATAATGGATTTAAAAGAGATAAATAAAATCTACTTCTCTTTTGAATCATCTAGTTTGTAAGTATGTGATAATATGTATAACATGAAATAATGGAGATTAACAAAGGTGTCTTAACAATCCAATTATTATTATGGTAACATTTTTAAGAATACCAATCTGTGAAGAAAGTTAACATTATAATCTGAAAAAACCCCCATATTATAAGATTATTTTTCACATGCTTTACCATTGTTATACATAATTCTTAAACAAATCAAAATACATTTAAGTTAAAATTCTAATGCTAACATGGTGTCTATTTTATTAAGCAAGCAATAATTATATAAATGTTTAAATGTATAATATAAAGTGCGTATCGCTTTTGGCGACAGCTTGCGAATACTTTGCAATGTGAGCGTCCACATGCAAGTTGAACGCTCGAGCTGAAGAGTGGAGGGCGGTAAGCCTCCACTCTAGCCACTCTGTGGCATCGTTACGAAGTCAGAGGCATATACTTTGATTTGCATTTAGTGTCTTGGAACAGCGTTGTGGCTGCTGCGTGTGTGCATTGCACTCAAGTTCTGATCAGAGTTGATTGTTACTTTCAATCAATTATTATAATTTATATGTTATTGTGGCAACATATTTTGTGTTATGTTCTGGCCTGGGTTTAAAGCGTTCAAAATTGTAAAGTCTTCATTTAGTTCCATTCTCGACTGGCGTGTACTGTGCAATTACTGTTGAGAAGAACTGAATGGAATGTACATTTACGTAGCAAATTGCGACAGTTATTCCACCATTCGAGTTATTTAGTAAGACTGTCCTTATATCGATGTTTCTCATTCCAGCTAAATTTAAGTATAACAATATAACAAATTTACAAAAATACATATAAATTGAAGAACATTCGCAATATTGAGAATCCCAAAAATGCATATAAATATATCACTAATAACAAATCTAAGATTTCCTATCGAAATAATACCCTATATTACGCGGATGTGTCAAAATGCGAATGCTCATTCAGTTTTAATAAACGTTTATCGTTAGACTTAAATCTATGAGTTTCAGACTCGTTTCAGGCAGTCCCACAGATTTCTAAGCACCAAGAATCATTCAATAAATGCACTTTTTTTAAACTAACTTAGTGTTCCACTAACCAGAGTTTTGCCCTTAACTGGAACATATAACAAAAAACATTCTGTAATCACAGTTCCCACATTAATATAGTCCGTTGTGCCTTTATATTATTTTCAGAGATCGTTATAAATATATTAAGGTTATTCAGACATGTTTTATTTTTAACACAACAAACAACATTATAATAACGCCTAAACAATGACTCAAGAAATCCCAAAAACAAGTCTGAAAACATTTTGGTTTAGTCTATGCAATCCAGGTTTTTTCGACTTTTTGTTGAATATAATTATTGCCTAGAGATTTTCCTATATGTGGTTGAGAGCCCTTATATATTTATGGTTTATTGACATTTTGCATTATTTGGCTTTGAAATATTTCAAAAAGATTTCATAGACCAAACCCACTTATAAGTAAAAAATTATGATTTGGTAAATTGTAAATATACTATGTGTAAATAAATAAAACATACTATGCACTAAGTCATCTCACTTTTCAATAAAACATGACTTAACAATCAACAGGTCAATTTAGCAATATATAATTATATATCTTAAATATCACTTGTCAAATAGTTGGTATCTTTCGGTCCTCATTACTTATTCTACGAGGTATTTAACTACCTCAAATAATAGAACCGCATTTTCCCTTAGGTCACATTATTTCTTTAGAAATATAGATCTTGTTTTTCAGTTTACATCAGTATTATTGGTCTCATTATAGTACAGTACAAAATAACCAGAGTCATTTTCGTCTTATTTGGGATTTTATTGGGGCATAAATTGAGCCTCCACTTGTCTTTAACAATATTATTAATTGAACACTAATTTGTGTCAATTATAGTAATACAAAATCAGTCTCAAAATAGGGAAGTCTTTTAGATCTTCAGGCACGTATACATCTTAACCTGTGGATTAATATCCAAGCTAAATCCCTAATATAGATTTTACGTGCTAAAACAATTACCTTCCAACGTATTTTCCCAAGAAGTGTGTACACATTTGTGTCTTCATGTGTATGTTATATTACGAAAAGTTTGTTAGATTTCTTGTTTGAGGACAACTAAAGTATTAAAAATAAACAAAAGCCACGAAAAAACTAAACTAAGTTGATTTCAAATCATTACTAAATAAAATAAAACAATAACGAAATTACCTTTAGAAACGAATACTTTAGTTTGAAACTGGTGCATCACCTTGACCAATGTGTTCCTTTTCAGAATTGTGGCATTGCTCCGCCACCTAGAATACACCATTGAATTTAGTGATGTCATTTAAAGTTGTCATGAAAATAAAAACTAATTAAAGAAGGAAGCCGGTTGTAAATTCCATGGAGATGTTGTCGTGTGGTTGCTGTAATTTACTCTGCAGTCACCTTATTCTTATCAAGTGGGCCATTAGCCTCCAATGTTTGAGCGAGATCAGACTTCTGGCCAGAGCTCTTTTTCTTCCCTTTCCCCATATTCTTCTTAACATTTTTGCCAGTCTTCAGTTTTTGAGGCTGTGTACCTGTTAAGTAATTATTTTGCGTTATAACAAGTAATTTCTCAAGCAGAGACTTGACATCCCTTTTCCGAAATTTACGAGCATGGCGACGTACGAAATTTGGTACTTTACAATTAGTTAACATTTGTTTATTTTCTTAAAAATCACGTTGCATGAAAACACTGTTATTCTTCTCTTGCGGTTTACAAACCGAAAAAAGCATTTATGAAACATTAAGAAAACTTGAACAGAAGCTCATATTTCCAAATATCCATATAACATACCATCAGCATCGGTGTCAGGTGCTGAAGGATCCTCATGAGGACTGCCCTCCTCCTGTTGATTTATATCTTCAGGCCTTACAGTTTTCCTGAAAGATAGGAGGTTGTAATTAAAAAAAAATTAACAGGATGTTACAAACATGTTTCAGGAATACTTTATGAATATTACCCGTTAATAGTAAGCGTGGCGGGCTTAACAGGCTCATCGATATCGCGGCGAGCGCGTCTCGCGGTGCGTGCGGGGGGCGTGGACACCGCACCGCGGCCGCGCCCGCGTCCCCGACCGCCGCGCGTCCCGCGCCAGCCCCGCCCGCCGTACGCGTTGCGGGGCGGCGGTGTGTAACCCACGTAGCTCACCTGCTGCGATTATTTTGAACAATATCAATGTAGAAGCCTGCTTCCCCTTGCACACTTCATATGTTAACTAAACTAGAATATAACAAAAAATCTTGAGTTACTTGTGGGTAGCGAGTAGTGCGCGTAGGGTAGCTGCCGCCGCCCCACTGTCCCACGACGACGCCTGCAATCTCCAGGCGCGCGCCGCGTCCCCGGCCGCGCGGCCAGCCACCGAGCTGCCCGCCGAGCGAGCCTCCCACGACGCCGGCGACTAAAGGAAGCGGTGGCATCGCAAACTCCACCTCTAGCCCTTCCAAGATAGCTTTGCGCATACGTTCTACCTATTAAAATAATACATCTTACTATATAATGAATAATATCGGGTACTAGCTATTGTATAAAATATTTATCAACCAAGAGAAAAAAGATATGTAATGTATTATTAAAAATACTTTCTCACCTTGACCACCGTATCCAAATGGTTATCGCAGAGCTGAGCAAGATGCTTGCAATGATTAGCGCGATGTAGGTTGCGTTGCAACAGTTTGCCGTCAAAGTAGAGCCAGGGCGCAGCGACTAGCCAGGGCACGGGGGCGCCGCATGCGTCATTGGCCAGCAATGCCGCTTCCGCTCCCGCCATCACCAGCGCACCCAGTTGAACTCCGCGTGAGTTTATACCATTCACCTAAAAATAAACAACATTATTGATTTCACATTACAATGGTGAAATATCGCACAAAATTATAGAATGACGTTACTGACACTTTTCACACTTACGGTCATTTCTTGCAAATGAAGTGCATTCATGAGATCGTTTGAAAAAGCTGTAGCCAAAAAAGCATCCAGCTCTTGTCGCCTCAATATTTGAATTTGAGATGTCATTATAAATCTGAAATGTGTAACAAAATCCACATGCACATAAAAAATAAACGTTTGAAATCATTTAAAACATTAAAGGGAAAAATAATTTTGTGGAACAGGTAAATTTGTAAAAAAAAAAACATGATAACATTGGTTTTACCTCAACACAGTTGCCAAAATTAGCAAATGTTGGGGAACATAAGATGTATTCAACATCAATGGAGTATCGGAGCGCATGCACGATAGGAATGCTCTCATACGGCGGCATTTGTCATCTTGGGCAGTTCTGGAACAAAACACAAACTGGATTATAATTTATTTTATACCACTTATTTAAATTAATAGATGGATATAACAGAAAAATAATTTAATACTTCGAGGGGTAACGGACTATTTGGTTTAAGCGACATTTTGGGCGATTTTGAGTTATTACATATATTCGACGGAGAAAGATTCGCTGATTCCGAATATATATATAACTCAAAATCGCCCAAAATGTCGCTTAAACCAAATAGTCCGTTACCCCTCGACTTAATTAACATACCATCGCCATTTTTTCAATAACCGAATGAAAGTAAATATCAGAGAAACTACCTAAAAGGTAAAGCTCACCCGAACCAAAGCCGTTGCACAGTTGGTACAGGCCATTCTAGAACAACCCCTGGCACAACTTCAGGGCTTTTCCCGGGATTTACCCGAGAATAGATCCACTCGGCTACTTGTACAGTGCAAGGGCGATCAATATTCACTGAACTTGTTGAGCCTTCTTCTACAAAATAATCAAAATGAGTAATTTAGGTATTTAATAACATTACTTATACAAATATTTATAAGTATTTTTACAGAATAATACCTTTGGCTTTTTGAGCCATAAATCGGTGGTGGTGCATGTTATACAAAATGGCGTATACATTTTGTCTAACAGGTCTAAAGAAGTGGTGTATGGAGGGTATTTCACGGTGATTGTCATCCTCCATCAGTACAGGCAAGGTAACTTGACGATGTGTCAAGATCGATAGCATCTGAGGGTGCATAAGGCCACGTGCGTGTCGCTCAGCACATGTTCGTAACACTTCAGCTGGGGCCGGAGGACAATTGTCTTCATTATGAATTTGCTTCACATTCGGACGAACCTAAAATATACATGCATAATTCATTTCGGAGTGCAGTATTAGATCACTCAGTCAAGATTCACAAGGCGCTGCTGAATACCCAATATTTTTTAAATTAATTATAATTATACAACGAAAAAAAAAGTAAGTTACTGAAACAAAGCTGAAAAGTATATCGGTCAGTCATCTATTTCGTCCAGTAAGCCATCACCACACAAGTCGGCTATGTAGGCCATAAGGTATGTTTAAGCCCATATAATGTTTCGACCCCGTTTGGTATACCATGTTTGGCCAAATGTGATATACGTCTTACGTATTATTTAACTTAGTCGGAACTTTAAGACAATACTATAGTATAGTGGCGCTGGCATTGCATGTAATAATTTCGATCGATGTGTGGCAGCTAAATATATTTATTGCCTGCTTAGTAGCACCTTACATCTTTAAACACTCGCAATAAGTAGTGGGGGAGATATCAGACGCGTGGCGACGAAATCCACCCTCTGTTTTGGATCAGTTTTGAAACCTTAACTCATCAAGTACACACAAACATTTTTCAGACCTCTTTAGGAGCAGATTGTGGTTTTTCATTTTTATCAGCTGGATTGATAGTTTGCTGCTTGGCTGCACCCGCATCGCCGGAATCCAGAGAGATCGCCGCAAGTCCATGCTGTATGTCAGATGGCCTTTCTTCCATGCTAAAGTCGGCGTTAATTGATGCATTTGCTGTTGCCAATTTGTAGTCGTCCAAGCCTTTTTGCTGCAATTTATTGAGTTTGCAGTGTTCTTACTATCTGAAGTGCTTAGTGTAAATAACATAGGGATGTAGTAAAACAAAAAAAGGTGTGGGTAGTTTAAACAAAAGTTATTAAAAAAAGGTCACTTGCACTTAGACAATAGTTATTTCAATTTCGAACTAGTGATCATGCAATCTGAAAATCTGCCAATGAATGCCAATGGTGTTAATGACGGTGTAAAAGGCGTGGATGACTATAGCGATTTTCACTTAAGTAAAGAACATTTAAAAACCTCATGTTCAGATGATTCAGCAGCCAGTTTAGAAGTATCCAAATCTAAAGAAGTTGATTGTGGACTAATATCAGACTTCTGATTTTTTTTGTTGTTCTTTGGACGACGACCTAAAATAAAAATTAAAATAAGTTGAAGTATTTTATTGATTTTCACTATCATAATATTACTAAAGCACATTTCGGAAATTACCAGATGCAGTTCTGTATTTTAAAAATCCATCTTTTGTGCCATTCAAATAGTATTGAACAGCTTGTTTCAATTTGGCAGCTCGGAGATCATTAAGGTCACCAAAGACATCAATGCATGCGGCATCCACATCAGAGGAGGGTAATTCTCGCACATATTGACAAATAGCTTTCACTAAAGCTTCTGGAGGAACTTGCTGAAATTTTTGACAATGAATTAGTTTTAGTGATATATTCGTAACCAATAGCTAGGTATCCAAAGGAAGACATTAAACTAGTATTATATGCATACCTTCTTTTGCGTAATTCCCAACCGCTTATAGAAATCAACAAGACTTTGCTCAGATAGAATAGTACCACCAAGTAGCGCTGCCATAAGGCATAGTCGATCCTGTGGCACATCTAATACTTGCGGTAGCTCGTGCACCATGTACTCTTTTGTCTCCAATGATGACTGTATTCAATACACATGACATTTATTTAATAAAGTGTTTAGTTGGTAAATCAGCCCTTTATTAAGGAGGCGTTCATAAATTATGTGTGGTATTCTAGGGGGAGGGTATCAAATTAAATCTTTCCAAATTTCACATAGAGTCAGCCCACACCGAAACGTGATGATACTGGAAGAAGCTAGTACCTCGTCGGATGGCGGAGCGCGGCCATCCGATAAGTCCCAACGTCGCGTCGCTTCTCGGTTCGGGAATTGTAGCAAATATCACTTTTGTAGGTGAAAGGGTGAACAAAACAGTGTAAAGTTGCGCGAAAACTATTTCTAAAATACAATATGGTTAAAGGAAAATGGGTTATATTTGGCCCATTTCTGAATAGGAATATTAGATATCCCTCTATAGATAGGTACGGTTAAAGTAAAAAGTGTATGGTTTCGGAGTTATATTGCCTATATTATTGCTAATAAAGTGATCCTGAGCTAAGCAAATAATAATTGTAAGTTTCACTTAATTATAAGTTGACTTAATGATAAGAAGAATGAACAGATGGATTGGAGTTGCAAGGAGCAGATAGTTTTATTCAAAATCACTAAGATAATAAATGGTGCTTCCAGTAGTGGCCCTTGCTGTGAACGAGTCTCTATGGACTGAATCAGAATACTTAGTATTTTATATGCAAAATGCACCTAGCATTACAAGTACAACTTACCCTGTATGTAAGTTTCAGCTGTGATGAGCTAAAGTATCTTGGTGGTTGAAAGACTAAATATTCTCCAGAGCACCCAACAAGTCCAGCATAAGTTTTCTCTCGACAAAGACCAACTACCTCTTGGCAATGATCATCAGAAGAGACCATCTGTTAGATAAGAATTATTGTTTAATTATTAGAAATATTTAAATGTATTCTTAACAGGGTGTATTTGAAGTCGACGATCAAATGGTACCAGGTGATAGATAGGGTCCTAACAGTTATCAGAAAAATATAAAACAAATTCCAAGTCACATAGTTTTTAAATTACACTGAATTATGTGTTATCCACGAAAAAGTACACCCTGTGCCAGTCTTTTGATTCACGCTGCTACAGTTCTTTATTCTTTTTGGTCTGTATTTTGCATACGATAGTAGATTCCTGAATAGTGTTGCAGTAGGTATTATGGAATCATAAATTCTGGACAAATGCGTTAGTTTGCAAAAGATTATCTGACGAACCAAATATTCTTTTCTTAAATACCAAATTTCTCACCTTACTAAAAGTGAGTGTACAGAAAAAAAAATTGAACTGTTTTTTCTTTTTTAAAAAAAACGTCAACCAACACTAGGATTTTATCCTGTATTGTACAGGATATCCTATGCATAAATACAGACGAACAATAAAGCAAGCAAGCAAGAGCGAAAAGACTGGCACATGGTGTACCTGTTCATGAGTAACACACAAGTCATTGTAAGATAAAAAAAACTATAGGACTTAGATTTTTTTTCTGATAACTCTTAGAACCTTGCCAATCACCTGGTGCCATTTGATTGTCGACTTCAGGGACAAACTGTATATTAGATATTTGATAAAAAAATCATTTATATCAGCAAAACAATATCTTTAAAGTTTGCATGCACATACAGCGCATTATACTTACTATTGGGATATTAAGATATCTTAATGCTGTTCTGAGGCAGGAATGTAGGCCCATGGGAGGAACCCACCATACTTTAGGAGGAGGAGTGCCCTTTGTAGCAATGTGACGCAGCACCTGTGGCGTTTAGAATATTGTACCATTTAAGAATAATTAAAATATCCAACAATATTGTAACCAACAAATAGCATCTTAATTTGTTTTTAAACACCACCAAAAAGAAGCAAATTAAATATCGCACTGATTATTTTTTACAAGATAATAGTGTTTTGATGATTACTGATGATTAAGATGTGAAGGAGATGACCAAAATTTATTTATTTATTTCAACTCTTACAGGTAAATTTAAGTCATCTGGTTTCATTTGCTATTTGGTTCACTAACTGACGCCATTTAATTGAACAACTAAGGGTAATTTAAAGTAAAGTTGCGTTTCAAATTAAAACTAAGAAAACATTCTAAAACAAAGTTGAGGCAGTGTGAAGAAAAAATATGAATTCAAGTTAACTGAACATATTTTATTCTCTCCTCCATTGCTCGCGCTTTTTTTTGTTGACATGATATTTTCATCAAGGTATCCAAAGAGGTTAGGAGGATTTCTTGACTACTAACTGAAATATTTGGAATCTCAGGAGTCCTATAAAAAAACGAATTACACAGGGTTGAATACTAATATTAGTCCTTGAGAACCCACAGTATTTCATTTGTGCCTGTGAGGGCCGGATTTACTATGGAAGTTTGCCAGTCTCCTTTGTAACTTATGACAGCCAACGGACGCAAGCACGACCAGTGACAGACAGGCATGACGACATCGGAACTAAAGGCCCCTATTAGCGCAAAATATAAACAGTTTAAAACCGGATTTTTTAAATTAGGTCTATGTTTATGACCTATTTTACATGAAATTCTTTAAAATAAAAAATAAACTAAAAATAGTGTATAGTTCCCTATTGTGTAAAAATTACGATTAACTGTCATCATAAAAAATAAAGCCACATTATGTAACATCAAATTGAATAAAAATGTAACTTCACAACACATTCAGGTAGTAAATGGAACGCTCCCGAAAAATGTCGACGGAAGATGGTAAAAAAAAAAAATATTTCTAAAAAAGTAACGAAATGTTTCTTTTATGTATAATAGTTGTAATTACCTGGTCAAGGCTGATGTTGCATGAATAACACGAAAACCAAAACGCAATTTCTTATTGCTGACAATGACTTACTTACTAACACTAATGTTTTGGGAGCGTTATGTTTATACCTTGGAAATTATGGTACAAACATGTCAACACGACCTAGGTGCTTGAAACCAGTCTCTGTCAATGCAATTTCAATCCAATAGAATCTTAAGAAATATTCAATTTCAAAACTATACAACCCCTATCGTAGCTGTTAATATAGCATTCAGAGTATGATATACAGAATATAAAGCAAAACTCAATACCTTTAGTTCATTAAATACCTATGCAATATGGATGCAATGGGCAATAGTGTTGAAAATCAAGAGTACAAATTTCACAAAACCAATGATCGATAGCGATCGGATTCAAGAGTAAGCCTAAGCCTGAAATTCTTTGTAATTTTATTTTTATTATTTTATAAAATATAACATCCAAATATTCTAATGATGTCTCAAAAATATACTAATTGTAATGTAAAGGCAATTCAGATAAAACATAAATTTTGATAAAAATACTTACCGAGTTGACCCTCTGGCGATATGTAGCTTGTGTTTGTATCCAATGCTGTGGCAATGCAGGTGGAGTAGGATGTGCACCATTGAAACATACACATAGGGCTACTTGATGTTCAGCAAGTGCCTGTGCAAGTGTGGTTAAAAATTGCACGCATCGAGCCCACTGGCCTCCACAAGCCCAATCTGCAAAACAAGTCATTAAATTTAATATGGAATCATTTATTTTATGAATAGTATACCAATTAGAAAGCTACCCTATGCAGTTGAAAAATTATAATAATACATTAATTAACATTATTATTGTTGCTGTAAAAACACTGACAAATTAGGAGTCGTCCGTGATAATGATGGTAATGTTTATTTTGATACAAGATAAAAAATATCGAGACAAGAAAAAAAAATGTTCCAACAAAATATCTACAGCTATTGCAAGTTATCAAAAACAATACCTGAGAAATATCCTCCATAAAGACGATCTAGACATCCTTCCGCGTCGAGAACTAAGCGGAACCCGCCGGCATGGTTTCTAGCTATTCGAAATAAATCAACTCCAACACCTTCGTTTTCTAAAAACGTTTGAAGATCTTGTATACCCATAGTTTGAAATAAAAGACGTATTTAATTGATCGAACACGTTCGTCACTAGAAATTAGTAGCCTGAAAGAGAAAAAATTATTATGACGGTAAAGAGTGTAGTAGGTCGATAGTTTTCACAATGCAGGTGACATGACACATATTTTCACGAAAAATTGATACAACTGACTACATGTTCAGTAATTAGATACAAATCAATTTTATTATTTATAAATATGTCTCAAATGAGCGTAAAATAGCGAGATACGAAAGTTGCCGGCACGTAGCCAACGAAGGTCAAATTTATTAAGATTGATTACAGTTTTGGGGGAAAAATATTAATTTATGACTAAAACTACAAAAAAACTAGGAAACTGAAAAAGTAGCCTTACCTTTTTAGAAAACCATACCAACATAGGATTACGATAGGCGTAAGTTAAAAACGGAAGCCATTTGTAATATTTTTTTTTTAATGAATGTCACACTTCACTCTGCCGTGATACGAGCCAGCAAACTTAAAATAAATAAATGTGATTTATACTCGACTAACGGCTGAAAATAATAATAATTGGTTAACAGTTTTAACTGACGATACACATTGACGGCATAATAAATAATTGATATTTTTCTATTATAACTTTCATGAGACCTATTAGATTAATTAACTATCTTTTACGGTTACTCATGTCTGGAGACGGACGACTTTTTTAAATAATTCTCGAGAAAATACGGTCACAGTAAAATTTTCAGAATTTACGACATTATGAATTTTGAGAGTATTTGTCCGACTGCCTCGTTGGCCGAGTGGTCGCAGGTGTAACTGCCAGGCAAGGGTTCGATTCCCGGAGTCTTAAACATTATTAGGTGTTTTCAAAAGACCTCAATAGTAGCACGGAGTCTGGAAATGTGCCCGGTACATGGCAATAGGCTCACCCCTATTACATGGAACCCATGGAACTCGTAACATAAGTAGTGAAAAGTGGGTGTTACATTGTACAGTGGCATTAAGTGCCGTAATGTGTATCTCTGCCTATCCCTTCGGGGATAAAAGGTGTCAATTTATTTCGTTATCCGAAATATCGCTTAACTCTATTCACTCACGTACATACAATAAAAATGTTGGGTGGTTCCAGCTCGACTAGTTTCAAGCCACGCTAGGGGCCCATAATATTCATGAGCGCATTGCGTGCACGATAGTTCGATTTACGACATGCGGCAAATGTCTATTATAATCGTTTCACGTTTAAATTATTTATTAAACATATAAAGTGTATTATTATGTAATATTTTACTAATTTATCGACAAGTTACATTATTCAATAGAAGAAAACCTAAACGATACAGATTCGGGATTCCTGCGTTTGTGGTTATCTTAAACCCAAAAGTGCCTTTTTGGTGTCTTATGAAATTAACATAATCGACTAAATAAAGTAGTAGATTGTGAGAGGTTGCAATTGTATTATATCTGTCATCGCAGTTCGTCTGTCAAAGATTGCAATCGTAATCGTATCTGTGGGCAGTATGTGTCTATAGAATTTGTATTGGTTTGCTTGCTTTTTGCAGTGGGGCGTTGTAAATCAAAACCATTATAAAAAATCTATGAAAAGATGGGAAATTAGCATGGGCGTAAATATTATTACATGCTGGGCCCAATAATTACTAACCTGAAAACTGTTGTTGTATTTAAGATGTTTTAAAGTTATTACAGCACTGTAATCAGTATCTGGCATTTCAAATTGGTTCCAAAGGATATCTACAGCTAAAATTAAGTAATGCCGGAGCAAAGTAATGATTATCGTGTAGTAGTTTTTGGTGCGGGTGGTGTTGGTAAAAGTTCCCTTGTGTTACGATTCGTAAAAGGGACATTCAGAGAATCATATATACCAACGATTGAGGATACCTATAGACAGGTAACATTATTTACGTTTCAATTTTATTGTTTTGTTCCCGCGATTTATGCATATAAAATATTGTTCGTTTAGTCCCAAAACAAGTTTGTGGTACTTAACTTGTACAATATTCTGTAGATACATTATTGAGTATTTATACAGATTATTAAAAGGAGTTTAAAGTACTAAGTATTATAGTTATCACCTAGGAAGTTCCATATCTTGACCTATATTTATTGAAAAGGTCGTGTATGAAATACCTTGAACCATTGAAATTTTGCCAATTCCAGAAACTAACATTTTCTTTGGGATATTGCCAATGGGTATGCCCCATAGTAAGGCTGGCTGCTAACCTTATTATAATCAAAATATAATGTATTTCCAAATTTAGATAAATAGTTCTTGCTTGCAGGAAATTTTAGCAGCATTCATTTACATAATTAGAATAGATTTAGATGTATTTTTAAAAACAAAAGCATTTTATCACATTTATTGGTAGCATTTAAGTTGGAACTGCCTTTGATTGACTTTTTTTGGGATTGAAACAATTGTATAACGAGATAATTAACCTTTTGATTGTAGGTAATAAGCAGCAACAAGACAATATGCACATTACAAATAACTGATACAACAGGATCACATCAGTTCCCTGCCATGCAAAGGTTATCAATTAGCAAGGTGCAGCAATATTTTTTTTGTATAAAAATATAATTTAATGACCCTTCATAATATATATATTGGTCTTATTTATTTTCACAGGGACATGCATTTATATTGGTTTATTCTGTGAGCAGTCGACAGTCATTAGAGGAACTCAAGCCAATATGGCAAACCATAAAAGAGATTAAGGGCACAGAGCTTCCAAATATTCCTGTGATGCTGGCAGGTAACAAATGTGATGAGAGTCCTGAGATAAGAGAAGTATCTGCATCAGAAGGACAGGCCCAGGCTCAAACTTGGGGCATTTCATTCATGGAAACATCAGCTAAAACAAACCACAATGTTACCCAACTATTCCAGGTACATATTTCCTTTGTATGTAGATTGTAATTATGTTGTCCAAAATCCTTAATAAAACAAATCATTTGATAAAATAATGCTTAATGAATGTATTTCCAATGTGAGTAGCATTGTTTTTAATTATTGTATTAGTAGTAGTACATAAATGATTAGTAATAAAAGTAATTTCAATTCTAATTACAGGAACTTTTGAATATGGAAAAGAACAGAAATGTATCACTTCAAGTTGATGGGAAAGGCAAGAAAAAGAAAGATAAAGCAACTAAAGACGGCGGAGAAGCCTCTGCAAGTGGAAGAGAGAAGTGCCGAATCATGTAAATATAAAAAACTCCAATATTATCTTACCCCACCAATTGTATAACAATAATTCCTAGTCATTTTGATCCTAGTCATTAAATCCATGACCCAACCACATTATTTACCAAAGCTAGAATGTAAGTATTGCCCATATTGCATTTAAAAGCAAGAAGTAGAATAATAATTACAATGCCTTTTAAATAATATTAGTTCCCATTGTGATGGAGCTTAGAAGTCATTGAAAACCTACATATTTTGCTAATTGTTAGCTATTAATAATTTAATATTGACTGACATGACAAAGAGGGGAGAAATATTCCATATATTGTTAGTGTGAAAATACAACGAAATTAAGTCTTTTAGGACTTACTGTTATTGAATTATACATACTGAGCTGTTATATAAAACAATATTGCCTATGGAACACTTTCATATAGTGACAAGCATTGTATATTTTAAGTATAGTTATATATTATTATGTAAAATCATTTTTTTATAACATTCCATATACAAGATAAGGACCATAAGACAAGTTTGAGTCTAATTTACAATTTGTTTTACAAGTTTATTTGTTTCCAAAATATGTGGTGACATTTAAAAAGAAATGTTTAATTTGGTACTTTGGTTATTAAAAGATGGGTAATGTCATTATGAGAAGTTATGTCAGTGCCAAATAGTAGAATTCTGTACAAAAATTGACATCAAGGTCAGAATGATGTATAAATGCATGTATGATGTTGGAGACATATTTTAAAGTACTGCCAAAGCGGCGCAATTTCGGTTGTATAGCTCCATTCTTTACTTGAGATTACCTTAGGAAGATTACTAGAAGCATTAAGCTTTAGAACACTATAATATGTTGGAATGAAAGTAGAGAAACAGCGAGAATAAGAGGTCTATTTCATTGGGATAGCAATGACACCATAGTCGTACGACCAGTCGCCAACTGGGGTGTCTAGAGATACCTGGGGGCTTACTCTTGAATCTATTTCCTACTGATCGATATTGATATTGTGATGTCTTATACTCTAAAGTTAAACACTAGTGTCACATTGCATTGTATGGAGTGGATATTGAATAATTATTGAGATTTTATTGGATTAAAATTGGCATTGAGATTAGTTTCAAGAGTAAGCCTGCAGGTAGTGCTTAGGACTAGTGGTCTAGAGAGAAACCAGAGAGCCATAGGCCATAGCCAGAGGCCTATTAAAATAGAACTCTTATATCAAGTAATGAAGTAGTAGCCTACTCAGATATGAAATTTAAAGTACAATAATAATATTATAATAGACAGGTATTACCTTAGACTTTTGATATTTGTCAGAGTCAAATGGAGGTGGAATATACAACACCTGGTTAGTTATATATTCTTAAGCACAAGTCATGGTAACCTATGTTGAACATTTCTTGGAAAGAAAAGTTCAGATGCACTTGCCTAATAAAAACATACCGGCCAACCATTGACTTTAATTAGAGCTGAGGTAGGTACATACATAGTGTACTCAGTATGCTATTAGAAATAATCTTATTTGCTAGAATGAAACTCATGTTCAACTATGACAGGACTATGATTAAATGAAAAATAATATTAAGCACTGTATTAAAAATATTCGACAATATATAGGTACTTATACTTAAGTAGGTACTGTAGCAACCAGGAATAATCATCTCGCGATGACATTATCGATTTTAGGTTCGAAAATTATTTGTTATATATTGTTCATGGTTAAACATTTATCTAGAATTTATAATATTTAAACGTAGCTGTCGCTAGTTATATAATGCACTTTATTTAATATCACTCACATATCCAGTTATATAGATTTGTCCATGAAATATAAGTATTTAGTCGATTATCACTGTACAAATTTAATATATTTTTAAATATTCTGTATGCATAATATGAAGTGTTAAGTGGTTAAAATGCAGTGCTGGTATAACTGAAACCTGTGTGAAGCTACACTTACGTTCCATTCTATTTTTACCATACATAACCACTTCAGGAAAATGTGTAGTGTTCATAGCTAGTTTGAAAATAAAAGTAAAGAATTTCAAGCACGCGTAGTTCCTGAATCGTGCCTGACTGCAATAACAATTTTCGCATAGACTTCAGATAGCGTTCTAGGCTGAGGGTCTGCGTCTACCGTCAGCGACTGGTGGCTAAAACAAGTATCCAGTTAATCAAACAGAAAATTCCAAGTGTAGCTCCACTCTTAGGTACGGTTTACAGTCAGTCATGTCATAAATAGGCTATTTAATATTTTTTTTTATGTAAAATGTTTTAATTTCATGCCAAATATTTTTTTAAATGAATGAAAATTGTTACTATACCGTGAGGGGTAAATTGATCGGCAGACTTGATTGTTTCGATATCAGTACTATTTAAGATTATAATTAATATTTACATTCCGTTTAATATAATAATTTCTAAAAACATTTGAATATTATGCACATAAGTTGATAATGTATTTGCACGTTTTAATTATGAATATTTGCTTATTGGCAGAATCTATAAAATATTGTATTTATAGAGATAAAATTGTTAAACACTGAATTGTTATAGCTGGACCAAAGTTGTTTCATGTTGATTGACGTAAGTTAACAGTGTAGTAGTTGTATTCTATCTTTTTATACTCTTCGTATTTCCGTCTATCCTTATTTCTTTACATTTGTATGTGCATTCTATATGTCTAAACTTCGGGAGTCTTGTCTTGCTACTTTATCCCATTCAGAATCGTCTAAACTGCAGTAAGCTAACAGCAAACACAATCTAAGCTAACATTTCTATCTTTAACTTATTTTTTGTATTTGTTATTTATTAACAATCTACCGATTTATTACAACTACATAACAAAACTAATGTTCTATCAGTAACTAACTACAATCTCTTAACAAAGTAGAAGCAATAATTATGTTGGTTTGATTGAAACATTTGTCTTTCATGTTTCCGTATTTTATTTTTAGCTGATGCAGTTTAAACAACATTTCTGTAAGTTAATCTAAAATTGATTCATATATGCACTATTCACATCCAATTTTATCTTCGACATTTTACAGCGTTCAATAAATCGACGAGTTTTACCTGTATAACAACGTAGCGTTTTGGCTTATGTCCACGGATTTTTATTCTTTAATTCGCGCGTGTAAATCGAATCACTGTCGCTTAATTTTTTTTAAATTGCAATTACAGTACAAATACAAAACAAAGGAAAGATGTTTTATATACTCCTCCCTATCGGATGGCGTCATAGCGCCCCGGTTAGCAGTCTATATCCTGTACCTATTTATATTCTGGCTAATTGATACAGTATCTCATCCTCTCTTACGATAAATAATTACTTTTATATAGCACGAGTATGGATCTAGGAGTTGTAGTTCTGGTAGCTAGATTTTAGAGGAATTCTATAATCAACGAAGGATCAACATTAAATATAATCAGAAATAGTGTTTTATATTGTAAAGGTGCATAGTGTGAACGAGTCAAAAATGTGAGTCGATTCATCCAGTTGGTACTGTATAGGAGACTCGATGATTAATTTATGATCAAAGAGGTCATTATAATATAATAGCACACGCTTTAAATTAGGATGACGTAATATCGGATTATAATATTATAGATTTTTTTTATATACAAGTTTCTACATTATATTTACTGCGAACTTTACATTCCGTTTCTAATCACATCATAACTATCTTCTCTGCTCTTTTCCTTAATATCTTCGAAAATGGTGCCCAATGTATGACACGGCAATAATAATATAGGAAGTAGGTAATAGGATAATTATCAGCATCCTTTTGCAATCTTAACAGTTTTATATATATAAAATTATAGAGATCCAAAAATTTACTAGAAATATTAACGACTACTAAGAACTTAGTTGAAGCTTTTGTTCTGCTGTTTAACTCGAACAAACATTTGACGATTTCTTAAAAAACAAATTATTAGTAGAGTAATTTTTTCTAGTCGTCCATCTATAAGAGTTACCTAATTAATATTTACCTGGTTGCATTACTAATAGGGTAGTTGGGTAGAGGCGCCTCGTTTGATCACGGTTAATGTTTGCTCAGGGTGGGTCAGACTTTGTTGATAATGTTGTAAGCAATCTGACCTGTCTTGATGGAGGTCGTATGTTGTAGTTGTATTGTATATAATTATTGTTTTTTTTTCCAATGTTATGTATACCGAGGTTGCGAATGTTTGTTGACCAATAGCAGTGTAGGTGTAAGCGTCTATTTAAAATCAAGACTAGAATTTGCTTAAATCTTCATAATACCGTAAATAATTATTTATGCTTATATGTTCCCAATTATGTATTAAATTGATCTTGTTTGTAACACTTCTCACTAAGGCATCACGAAAATAAAATATGAAAAGTATGTTTTGGTTTTATTTCTTTAGACACATAAAAGTACAAAAATGTAAAAAAAAACAACTTCAACGCAATATTTTTCTTTACAAGTACAACCTAGGGTTTAGATAACAATGTTACATTAAGCGTTAGATTACATTGGATTAATATCAGTGTTTTATAAATATTAATTCGTAAAAATATAAAATATCCAAGGCCACAAATGATTCATTCATCTACTATAACTACACACGTAAAGAATATATGGACTAAGCATTAACATTATATTCGTTTATATCATTAATAAAAGTGTGTAAAGATATAATATAAAATAAATAGAATACAATATTTATTCAGAATTTCTATTACGCATCATATGCATGCGCGTCAATAAATGGAAATGAATAGAAATTCTATATATGTATATCTTTTTATAGTGTAGAATTTTGTGAATATATTCCTAAATCCATTGTCTGTTAGTCCAGTAAACTCAAATATCCTGCACACTTAAACTGCATTCACTACATCTATACAACATGAAAGAGTAAGGATATAGTTTAGACTATAATAATAATATAATATATTGGAAATAAAATTCTTACTACATAAGTACATGATAGAATTATTTGCTAGATTAAGGGGCTGAAATTGCGTTAAGCGGACGTCCGCGTTTGGAGCCCGGTGCGACGCAGTTTCGAGCCTAAGTGGAATTAGGTAATTGATGGCCTAAAATTAATGTTATACTTTATTATCACAGAAAGTCAATCAATACAAATAATTGCTATTCTTTTTATAACAAAGGATTTACAGTTATTATTAAATAATATCAATTATTTGTATTCACAAGCGTAAAATATACACAAATAAAAGCATGTTAACATTAAAAAAGTCTCATATTAAAAACAATGCATGAAAATTAATGATCCCCATCACCCCTGCCAACATTTGGTCTTCTCCTAAAGTTGCTGTTTATGGCCAATTGATCGTTACTGTCTGATGAAGAGTTAGGTAGACGCCCAGTGCTTGCTGACCTTCGTAACATCGGAACATTGTTGTTCATTGAATTTAAATTGGCTCTATTTGGTACATTGTTAATGTTTGTCAAAGCAAGGGAGCAAACATTTAAAAGTCTGTCTAATCTATCACCACTTATTCTATCTGCATCATTATTACGTATTTCTCCCTGTTCATTTCTGTTTGTAGAAAACAATGACGTCCTATTTTGTCTAACACCAACACTAACAACTCCAAGGAAGTTCAATTTGAATGGAATATTGAATATAAAATTGAACACAACCATCACAAGAAGATATATCAATGATATGTTGACAATTAAGATTAAAAATCCATATACTATTTTATCAAATGGGAACATAAGTCCATCTGGAAAAAAAAATGTAAAATTATTATAATATTTAAATTAGTGATAATTTACATTAAAGTAAGTAATCATAAGTAGCCATTTCTTTTCTTACCTGTAACACTATGGAGCATGATCTTTATGGTAGAGTTAATAGCAACAATAGGTTCAGATATAAAGGATGTGAACATTCTGATTGCTATTTTTAGTGGATTCATGTGTTTCATGAACAATAGTGGATCTGGTGGTGGTACTGTGCACTCGGTGGTCCAAAAGTACCATTTGCAAGCATTGATAGCAGACACGAATTTCTCATACTCTTGTTGTTCAGCTTCCTGAAACACAATATAATACATGTATAGATTTTATTTTTCAAATTATAATCAGTTTCTTTCATTTTAAATATTTTATTATGTATCAGTTTTTTGCCTCCCGTCCATATTATATCTGTTTTTTTTTTTAATTATACATATACTTTATACTGTCCTGTAATAAATTTTATGAAAAAGATAAGATAAAAATACTCACTTTATAAGATATAAAAACTTCATAGACATATAAGAGGGCTAATATAATGCTGACAACATGTTTGTGAGACATGTGTTTCCAGAGCCACAACACTACTCCAACTGCAGCTAGTAGACCCAGCAGCAGAGTAATATATGTCTGAAAATAAACAATTTAGCTTTATCTTTCTTTCTTTCTTCATCTAACTGAATTTGCTTATAGTAGTCAATTGCAACTAAGCTAATTGACTAGTTATAAAATAAGTTTAGATTGCCTATTTTTCATCTATGAACCTGTATTTAACTTTTATGGAAATAAAATCTCTAACATTGGTCAAGTACAAAATATACTACAATTTATTATAACTTTCAAAGAAACAGATAAATTGTTTAAGTAGTTAATCTTATCACAATTGTAATTTTATTTTTTGGCAAATTTACCTTATATTCCATTAGATATACTTGAATATAATCACTCCATGCCATTACAATTTTATCAGTAATAGTTGGCTTATAAATAGCTTCTTCAACAAATCCTATAGTGCGCCTGAACTTATCATCGGATAATGGAGATTCAGATTTTAAATACTCGTCTAATACTTGCCATCTCTCAGGCTCAAACCTCATTTGAAGAGAGATATCGACACTGCCCTCTTCATTTTTCTGTAAAGTTTAAAAGTTAATATATTTATGTACTTAGACAATAATAAATAAGTTGCGGCAGAACTATCTGCCTCGCTTAGATCCACAATAATAAGGAAGTTAAGTTTGTAACAATTATATAATTATAAATACATATAGTTAGTTATAAGTTAGATAAGGTATGAGGCTAACATACCTTTGTAAGGAAAACCCTATAAATAAGTAAAGATATCAAAAAAAAAAATTAAAAGATGTAGCAAACACAACATCATTTTAATATACAAAGGGGTAGAGATAGAAAAAAATGTTTTAGCCACTTTTCGTCAGTTATATCACTTTACCATACCCGGGAATTGATTCCGAAACTTTATTGCTCTGACGTCCCACTTGTGTTTACTTTACCAACAAAATGTTATAGAAAAGTTGTATAAACCTTGAATTGTCCATTTTTCAGCATAATGGCGAGTAATCTCTTAAACCACCATTCTCCAAAGCCAAATTTAGATTCGGCATGCCTTTCTTTCTTTATAGGTGTTCTAAGATCTGGTGGTAAATCAGTTTCTTCTGATCTTTGCACAACTTCATAGTTCCAAGGATCTGGTCCTATTTGTATGTCACTGTTACAGATGCTACAAATGCATAACAGAATTAGAATTATTGTCTGCAAACTCATTTTTATGTACGATTATTTGATAATAAAATAAATTTGAATTTATCGCCACTGTGCTCGATCTATAATTTTGAAATGATTGAAAATGTCAGCCTGGCATTCTGACAGTTTCAGACTTGACATTGACATTTGGCATGATACAAAGGACTTTCTATAGCTAGTGTTTGCGTAAAAACCACTGATATGATAATATTTATGGTAAAATCTAAAAATCTTTAACAATGTAAAAGATTAAATGAAGTGGAGCTATTGAACAGTTTTTTTTTTTTTTAAGGGGGGAAAATCATCGAATGACTGCCCCCGCCTGGGTGAGGCGGGAGGGAGTGTCAGACTCTTACTGACTAAAAACCACCCCGTTCCTTTTCCTGCACGTCGAGCCGGAGCCCCGGTTACCCGTTAGGTTCTCCGCGACTCCGAATCGGCATCGGCCCTATTGGGCCCCATCTGTGGTGGTCTGATGGCTCTTTGAGGCGCGCGCGGAACGCGACGCGCCGTACGCTCGGGTCTGTTTCTGGTCGGACGGGGAGCCACCCATGCTCGCCGTCCGCAGGCCCGCGCTTACGGTGGCCGGAGATCGTCCCGCGATCCCCGACGCCCGGTGTGTCCTTCGCGATGGCTGGGTTGCGAGGAGGCAGCGCTTCGCTGCCTCACGCGTCCCGCCTCCTCCTTAGCTAGCATGACTGCTTCGCAAAAGGAGGAGACGGCATCCCAATCCCCCTCGCTCCGCATCATGGCCTGCACTAGGCCCGGACGCGAGAGGACGCCATCGCCGATCACTTCCCTGAGGACACGGCGGTGCTCAGCCCACGAAGGGCATTCTCCCACCGTGTGTTCCACCTTGTCCTCAGGGCGGTCCTCGCAGTGATGACACCCGGGCGATTCCTCCCGCCCCATCAGACACAGGTACCTCCCGAAACTGCCATGTCCGGTGAGGACCTGCGTCAGGCGGTAGGTGAGGACGCCGTAGCGTCTCTCAAGCCACTCCTCAAAGAGGGGACTTACCGCTGCGATGGCAGCGAGCCCAGCTATTGAACAGTTTACTGTTGACTGTGAATGATTTATTTTTGTATTTCTATTCTATAATTAATAAATCTTTTAGTATCGAATTTATACACGCGGTATGGTTTATATATGTATTTATTATCTGTTGTTCTCTTTATGTCTCACTGTCATCTTATTGACTTTGACATAATTTTGTTCCCGGTTCCCGTCTGTCAGTGTGAACTGTCAAGAGTAGAAGCGGAATCGTTTTAAAAAAATTTAATTCATTTTATTGGCATTTAATTGCATTTATTGCATACTACTGAATAATTAAAACATTTCTTCACTTTGTTACTTAGAAAGCAGAATGTCGTCTATAGATTTCGACCCTGCGATAAAGTTGTGCTTAAAATATTTGCATTCAAGTGCATCTGATTCCACTGAACAACTGCGGTTGACTTTAGATGACCACATTCGTCAGACTTATGGAAGTTCTAAAACCCTTGGCAACGTTTTACCGAAGAAGTATTTGGCTGAGGAAAAGTTGGAATCACCAAGATCTAAACATAAGACCGAAAAGTCATCTACTACCAAGACTGTGGCTCTGCCTCAACAAAGTCCACAGCAAATACAAATACCCGAGCGTGAAAACGATGACGGATCTGTTATTGATGGAGAGTTATCTCTGGATTTATTAGAAGAAGATTTGACCTGTGCTGTATGCAGACAGATTTCAGTTCAAGCTGGCAATCGCTTGGTGGAATGTGATGTATGCTGTGCTCTTTATCATCAGGTAATTATACAAGTTCTTGAATCAGTTCTGTATTTTCTGAAACCAATATTTTACATGTATAGAGTGACATTCATTACTTTGTATATTTCATACAAATATGTAACTATTTTTTACTGTTTCAAAAATCTTTATTTTTTTTTGCAGGATTGCCACAAGCCTGTAATCAGCGACAACGATGTAGCAGCAGGGTGGCAATGTGCTTCTTGTTTGGCATCACAAGGGATTACTGGAAATTACATCAAGGCTACGCCCAAGTCTCCTTCTAACATATCTGGTTCCTCTACTCCAGTTAAGATATCCTCAAGTAGTTCCTCTTCCTCATCTCCTTCTAAAGTGGTGACTCCCAACATCAACATTATATCTGCTGATAAGAGATTGCAGATCATGAAGAAGAAGGCTGCTAAACAACATGAAAAGAAGAAATCTAAATGATAATAACTCTTTGTTTCTTATGAAACAAAGAAAAAACCATGTGGCATATAATGCCAGTGTAGGAATAAACTCAGGAAACTGAAATACAGTATATATATTTTTTTCTTTATTACTGAGGAATGTAGTTATTATTAAAAATAATTTAAACTTCGCACATATTGGTAAGATTGTGTAGTAGAACTATCTTAGAGTTTCAATCTCGTACAAATTTATTATTGTTTGTATCTTCTGTCTACTATATTACAAAAATAAAGATGGGTATTCTATTGTACATGCTTTTATTTAAACATAACATAACATAACATCACACCTTTTATCCCCGAAGGGGTAGGCAGAGGTGTACATTATGCCACTGTACAATGTAACACCCACTTTTCACTATTTATGTTATGAGTCCCATGTAATAGGGGGTGAGCCTATTGCCATATACCGGGCACCATTCCAGACTTCGTGCTACTACTGAGAATTTATAAAAACCCAGTAGTACTTTGCCCGACCCGGGAATCGAACCCGAGACCCCTTGACCGGCAGTCGCACTTGCGACCACTCTGCCAACGAGGCAGGCTTACTATTTAATATGTTTGTGCATGAAGTGGAATCTTGTAGTTAATTTTGAACCAGATATCTTCAACCAATATGAGTTGAAACTCGACGGGTGTGTTTGATGAATGTGATCAGCTCTCTATTGCCACTTTAGCTTGCTTATCCTTTGGGCTATGTCGATAACTTTAATTCTCTGTTAGATCACCTTGTTTCGGATTCAATACTTGTGAGATCCTTCTACGAGATATTCACTTCTCAAAGTGGTTTCTACCAACTGCAAGGTTTGCCTTAGGAAGAAGTTACAGACTCAGAAAATGAGGTACTTATATTAGACTTATCTATACTTATAATAAATCTGTAGAGAGGTCATGAAAACTACATGAAATATATTTCCAAAATAACTATCAGGGGGTGATTAGTGATCGACACTAATGCCAAAATGCAATCTGTAAAATTTTAGTCTTTCTGTCTGTCTACCTGTATGTTCCTTATTCTATTACTACTCGACGGATTTTAACGAAACATGGTACAATTATTCTTCATACGCCTGGGGAGGTTATAGTATACTTTCCATCATGCTACAATCAATGGGAGCAGAGCAGTGAAGGAAAGTGTTGGGAAAACGGGAGAAGTTACTCCATTTTTTAAGCTTCCGTCGCGTGTGCAACCTTAATTGTTAAAGCTACAAAGAAATCATGTGTGATGGAAATGTTCTACATAAAATTAGCTAGAAAATATACCACAACAGCAAATGTCTATCTTTTATGGTGGATTCACAATAACACGTGTAACTCCCGACAGCTTAGCAGTTCGGATTCTTTATAATACTTTCACTCATCCAAAAAAAAAAAGTCAACAGTATTACCTATTCAATAAAAAATGAATTATTGAAATCGGTATAGAAACACCAAACGTAGGTATACAACATGTAACTTAAATAACGCACATCCTGAAAATAGTTTGTTCAGAATCGTTAGCTGAATCGATTTATATAATTTTTAGAATAATTAATTAATTTTTAAGTTATTTTTAATAAAGTAATTTTTTATCCCAAAAATAACTATGTACGGAAATTATTGTCATATTACCCCGTATTGTTAAAACAAATCGAAATGGACCGTAAGTCAAAACTATAAGACTTTTAAAATCGCAGTTTTATTTGTATTCATACAAATTCTATCATTCAATACAAAATAAAGAAAAATAAACCTTATGACAAGACCAGTAAGGATGCATATACATGTTAAATTAAAAATTTAGTGCATACACTAAATTTTACATATACTATGATCATAACATAATATTCTAATTGGGGTGTTTGAGGGTGTGCGTTAATTACGTTACATGTTGTATATGAAATACGCTACCAAAATTAATTGTGCGGTCCAATCTCTAGGCACACTTACTGTACCAAACGCAAATATAAGTTTGTCGAATGTAAGTTGCCCGCAGTGGACGAGACGCTGTAACTTGTCGATGGTTGAGATTAGCTTGAACCGATATCTAATATATAATACTATATAATACATATAATTATATCTAGTATATAAAAATTACCCCTCTAATTATTATCATCAAATCAACTCAGGTTCTCCTAATCCCAACGTAGGTACCTAAATTACCTTATTACCTAAATACTTAAAAGTGTAATCTTATGTCTTATTTCTTATACTTTATTACTATTTTTATTGTATAAAGTTGAAGAGTTTCTTTGTTTGTTTGAACGCACTAATCCCTTGAACTTCGGGTTTGATTTGGAAACTTATTTTTGTTTTGGATAGTCCAATTATCCAATTATCAATCATTAGTCTATAGTAGACTACAAAACATCACTACCGCGCAGGAGTACTTACCTAGTCAAATAAATACTTATATATCTTGCCGACTTACGAATTGAATCCGTACTAGAGAATTTTAAGGTGTGCATTACTTATATCTATGCATATAATTAATTATACCTGCCTCGGTGGCCGAGTGTTCGCAAGTGCGCCTGCCGGGCAAGGGGGCTCGGGTCCGATTCCCGGGTCGGGCAAAGTAATACTCGGAGCCTGGAAATGTGTCCGGTATATGGTAATAGGCTCACCCCCTATTACATGGGACTCATAACATAAATAGTGAAAAGTTGGAGTTACATTGTACCTACAGTGGCATTTAAGTGCCTCTCTGCCTACCCCTCCGAGGATAATAGGCGTGATGTTATGTTATGTATGTATAATTATACCATATGTATATTATATCTAATGTATCCGCATATCTACAAGTATACCTATTTGTAGACAAGACTACACACCTATAGGTATAATACTTGTGTAGTTCCCCACTGAACAAAAAACTGAAAGTTTGCACAGTATAACAGAATACTGTTGCTTGTTTAAATGAAACACAATCATAAAGGATCAGCTTCCGTTGTTTTTCTAAGTTTGTAACCAATCCTAACGGGAGCACGTTCCCATTGGTCGCTCTAGAGAGAAGGGCGGTTCGGGATGAGCGGGATGTTGCGACGTCGATACACTGCGATACACCAACTTCAGTTTAACTCCTTAGAAAATGAAGTTCATTTTCCCAAGAACCTCTTTTCAGATACAGCAGTTGTTACTCCTCCCAGTTTCACATTCATCTATCATCTCGAACATCTAGTTTTCATATCGATATTAGTTTCAGGGCGGAGTGTATTATGGGCGGGCGGGCTCTCTCAGCGCTTCGTGTACAGTTAATTATGTGAAACAGTGTTTAATGTTTGTTACCTGATTGTTTTTGAGTATCTAAAATATCATTGGTGTCATTTTCATTTGTATCAGAAATTTTAATGCGTTTAAACTCGCGAATATCTAAGTTGATAATCTCAAGTGCTTCTACGTAGTGCTACAAACCCAAGAAAAAAAAGTAACGTCCCTTAAGAGATTAATTCAGTGTATTCGATTATTGAGTGATTCTGATGATGAATAGTGGTCGTGCAAGGGTCCCAAAGTGTGCTCGTTGCCGAAATCATGGTCTGATCTCCAGTTTACGAGGTCACAAGAAAGCTTGTGCCTATCGACTCTGCCAGTGCCCTAAATGTGGACTGATCAAGGAGAGGCAGAGAATTATGGCTGCTCAGGTATGTGCTGAGGTATAAAATACTTACAAATATCTATCTTTTACATTACTTATATATTTCACAAAAATATTTGTTTAACCGTGTTATTTTGACTGGAATATACTTGATACGGAGCCGCGGAGACAAGTTACCGGGGCTCAAATGCAGGAGTAGGAACGGGGTGGCTTTTAGTCAGTAAGATTCTGATACTCCCTCTCGCTTCACCCCCATAAAAATGACCGGAATATACTTACATGTAAAAAAGAAGAGTAAAAATCGTACAATGATTAAGATTAGTATTAGATATCAAAAATCAGCCAAATCTGAACTGATTGTTTAGGAAAATTACTAACATATTAGTACTTAATCATCTTAGGTAGTTCGGTACCTAACATCTATAGGCCTGGCATATTACAATTAATACAGAGCACTAGTGTCTACCTCAAACAAAATTAAACTTTTCGTAAACCCAAAATCTGGTTTCGTGTAAGCTAAAATCTGTTATGATGTGTACATTAAAATAATATAACTTCACGCTTTTTAATTGAATGGATTTACATTAGGGTAGGGTCCTAAATTTTTATTTTAATGTCCGTCTGGTAGAAGCGATTATTTCCTTTCTCACAAAATTAAATACTTTCTACGATATATTGACTTGAAATATCGTGTGATGACCACCCACTCATAAACTTAACTCTATTTTATATATGTATTGCAACTATGTAAGAGAAAATAAATAATTAGTGTCAAATGTTTTTTCATTATCTTACCGACGGAATAATTTGATTTTTAATTTTCATACTCTGTCAACTACCATGGTCGGTTAGACGGTGTATTACCTAAATAACCGTCCGTCCGTTTGTCGATCATGAGTATCTATCTACCTATGAGTCTGTTTCACTTGTGTACAGGTGTAATTTCCTAGTGCCCTGTGTCTGTATTCTTCATAAACCGATTCGTATTAAGCAGGAAGGTACCGTCCTCAATTAATTCTTCGTCATAAAAATAATAAATAACTTCGGTAAGTAGTACTTTGAAGTTTATAAAAGAGAACTGACATTAAATAAGACTAAAAGCTGTGCATGTTTACAACAAAGCGTTTTTTTATATCAATACTAACGCCACTATACTATCTCCGGTGCGACTATACTAAAAACCAGTTTCTAAAAAGTTTTAAAGCAAGTGCTAAAAAGTTTGAAAGCAAGTGCTATGGAGTCTATGGACTTTTACAAAAGCGCTAATAAAGGACACTAGGTATTCTTAGTTCAAACTAAACTTAATATACAAATATATTACAGTAAATTGTCAATGGGTCTTAGTCTTAGTCTGTAGGGCTAAATGTAATCTTAGGGCCGATTTTTCCAACGCCAGATAAATTTTAACTGAGGAATAACTTTGAATATTTGACAATTCTTCCGTACTAGAAACTGTCAAATGTTTATTTTATTGTACAGTTAAGAATTAACTGATAATCGGCCCTTAAATAAAAATCCCACCTTGGGGTCAAAAAACTTAATTACCTTTATGATACAGTAAAATCATTATTTTTTAAAGCTTGGCCTGTATGTTCCTAAATTATGAGAGGAATTCCTACTTAGATCAAGCAAAATTAGGTAATGAAGTCTAGAAAATGAAAAATAGAAAAAGTCGCCGGCATTAGAGTGCGTCGTTACTTATAGCACTTATAGACTTCTAAAAATGTTTAATTATATTAGTGGATTATAGTAGTTGGATGAGAAGAGCTAGAGATCGAGTTTTGTGATGTGCTATTGGAGAGGCCTAGAGGCTTATGTCAAGCAGTGGACGGCCCGTGTTTGTACCGTTATCATCAAATGATGACACCTAATTTAGAATTTCACTCACATATTAGGAAAGTAATTATTTCTAGGATTCATTCTCATAAGTATACTCATTTATTTGTGGCTACGCGGCTAAATTGCTATATGGCTAAGGCTATACGGCTACTGCCTGCTACATAGGCTACAGCTACGCAGTTACGACTTGCTAATAACTTATATGAACTAATTTATCAAGATTTGTTAGACATAATTATATAAGTATTTATTATACAGCTTACCATTAAAAAAGAAGTTAAAATGGACCATTTTTATAATCTGACTAAAGAATTTTACTCTCCTAAATTAAAATACATGAAAAAAACCCATTACAAGTTACTAAATATGCACGAATAGTTGTCAACAGCACACAAAAAGTCTAGACGTGGAGAGATATAACTAACCGATACTTTCTTCGAGGATTATGTATGCGTATAGTTCTTTATGAAAAAGTAATTTTGCTTCAGCTCTAGATAGTACCTACCTACCTATACTAGTCTGTGTAATTATGACAAGTAATAGAGTTTCAACATAATGCTATGTGCATTATTTACATATTTTATTTCTGCTAAAAATACATTTTCATGTTTTTTTCTAAATCTAAAAACTTCATCAAAACTAAACGTAAAAGGAAAAAACATCAGAACCAAATCCAAACAATTAACGATGAAACGAGCAACAAAAATATGAATCGATCCAATGAAACGAGGAAATTCTCCACTAATACCTTATTTAGTACAGAAATAACACGCAATTTAGAGGAGTTAATGTGTTTTAATGTAGTGAAATCGAGACCAGCTAATGCAGCGTCTCGGTTTATTTAAACAAGTGGCACGTGTTTACTGTAGACGCCGGATGAACCATCGATCAGTTTACACAGTAATGCATCGCTGTCGATGTCCCACCACTTGCATCTCAAATCTGGGATAACACGCTTTCATTTATCATAAAGGGATATAGATACCTACTGCCAATGTGTTGAAATCGCATTAGTTAAACGGATTCGCTCATTGATTTATTCTCAAACTTTACCCTCTTCCTTTTCATTTCTCTCTATTTTAGTATTTATACAAAGGCCACTGAGTTAATATAAATTCCTAAAGCGTTTTATTTGATTTACTGGAGATTGAGTTCTGTTTACGTTTGCAATGAAGCCGTAGGGCCCCGGGCGGCGCCCTGCTCGCCGGCCGTCCGGTGCAGTCCCTAGGGTGGTCGCAGATAACAAATATAAACACCAAGTGTTTGTCATTGATTTTCTGCTAAATTAATTTGATAGTATTACATTTCCTGCACGAGGTTGCTGTAATACAATCATGTATTTATCATTCCTCCCTTCGGCTTCCATCGGAGTTTTTATTAGGTTTTTTTTTTTTTTTTTTTTTTTTTTTTATTATTAGGGACTTTTACACGGACGTGTACGCCAGTCCCATCATACCTTATATACTAATATAACTAAAAACCACCCCGTTCCTTCTCCTGCACGTCGAGCCGGAGCCCCGGTTACCCGTTAGGTTCTCCGCGACGAGTTTTTATTAGGTAGGTACAGTTCAGGTTGTAAGTTTTGTTAGGAGAGGAGTTCTCTTTACGTTTAGTACAACAATCCATGGAAATATGTTGATTGCATCCAATAGACAAAAACATATATGTATATATTTATATACTTCACACGAGTCTTGTCTCTTGTCACCAGGTAGCCTTAAAGCGGCAGCAAGCCGCAGAAGATAAAATAGCTTTGCACTTGGCTTCGGTAGAAAGTGGAACAGCATTGGAAGCTTTACCTCCAGGTCGGATATATGGGATGAGAGTCACTGGCCCATGCCCCAGCCCTGGACCGGAGCCCGATTCTGTTGCTGATGACCATACCGTAAGAAACAAAGCTTTTAATTTTGTGGCTAATCAATTTTTTTTTTCAAAATTAATTTCACGGCAGGAAAGCTAATTTTAGGGGTAAAGATCGAGCTATCACGTACTCATGAATACCTATGAAACATTTGGATCTAGTGTGTTGTATATTTTGTCCTACAGCCAATCCACATCGACAGTGAGACGAGTGACTCTATGCCCGACTGCTGCACCGTTTCACCAGATTCTGCTGGTAGTTCTTCGGCCTCTATGTCAGTGCGGTACGTATAGCATTTTTAGATTTTTTTTTAAGTAACTATCTTATAATAGATGACTAATTCGTTACAAAACTTGAAACGTTTAAACAGTTACTTTATTGATTGGCGTAAGATTAGAATCATATCATAAAGTTAAATTTTACGTAGCGTTCAAATAATAAGCGATTCTGATTTTCTACCACAGGCCAGGTGAAGAAGGGTCTGAAAGTGAGAATGCAGTGAGCACAGCTGGTCTAGAGATGTTGCGCAAACTGTTTCCCGGCAAGAAGCGTTCCGTGCTAGAACTAGTGCTACGACGATGCAACCACGACTTGCTACGAGCCGTAGAACACTTCAACGCTACCCGTGTACGTTACAAAATTAAAAAAAAAATTATAATAGAAATGAATGAAATTTTATACTTCTGCTTGTTGTTGTTAGTATTTAAATTGGATGTCTAGATAATATCGTTTTAAATTCGTATAAAATAGGTTCAATTATGCAAATTTTTTATTAAAGCGGTATCTTAGGGCAGAGAGTAGGGCTTTAATTTATTTATTTATCATATTTACAATAAAATAAGTACAGGATTATCCATTTAAAATAGCAACCAAAGTCCACTAAGGTTTAAACTTGTGCTATTAATTATTAATTACAGCCTACAATAAATAGTTTTTTGTCAATTTTAATTCAGTAGAATAGACTGGGAAAATACGTGCTATACCTCTAGACACACCATGGTACCTAACTACCTACCTATTTCATGTTTATAATTTGCAATAGACAAAGTTTGTTGAAGGTTTCATTCAATTATTCTTTCGATTACGTATTTCATCAATAATTTTGTACATAACTGAATCTTTTAACAGGACCAGCGAGACAAGATACCAGGAATCAGTACTAGTAGCGGGTACGAGGCGTCGGTGTCAAGTTCCGAAGAGGTCGAGTCTAGGTGGTCAGCGTTCCGTCCAGTGGGCCCTCGAGCTCCAATACTACCGGCGTTGGTTATGGGGAGAGTGTGCGGTTCTGACTGGTTGATACCGATGCCAGCATTACCTGCACTCTCAGGACCACTGCTACTGCCTCTACAGCACCCTCATGCACCGCCAGCACCCTGCAATCCATGCTCTCCTGATTGTAGGCAGTGTAACCACCATTAGGATCACTCACTATGTAAAGAAATATGATGGTTCGTCTGGTAGACTAATCACGAATATTAGACACGTACATAATAATTTTCGTACACGGTCTATCTACGTATCTACACTATCTACTACGTCACTCCGATGGTATCATTAGTATTGTATTGTAGGTACCATTTGTTTCTACCATTGTATCTTTAGCATACATAGCTTAGTATCTTATTATTTTCAAGCTAAATTATGCTGCCATAATAATCCAATGCCAAAGAATTTTGTATTTAGGCTTGTAGATTTTCGATTTTTATTAAACTGCTGTTGTTATTTATTATTATTATTATTAAATCGTATCTTTTATATTGTAACTTTTGTTTTATTCGTCTCTATATGCGTCACCTGTAGTACTTAAGTATATATAGCATTAGATGATATGTTTTTTTAACCAACATTAAAAGATTGAAATTATGAGATAGATATTTACTTTTAATACACCCGCTACCTGCTAGTTGCTTTTTTGAGTGACTAAAAATATTGGAGATGAAATCGTCCAACCGTATTCCTATATTTGGGATTGACATAAGAATTGTGTTCAGCATCGGCACTGGCCCTAGTGACTTCTCGACTGACACGAAGCAGTTCGTGAGTTGTATTAAATAAACTAAATAACTAGTATGGGACTATGAGACATCGGTATCTCCCCACCTCGGGACAATTTTGTGCGTCATTGAGAAATGTGTAGACATCTAACAAACGAAGACAGATCAGAGAACAAATTGGGTGGATGGCACTTAGATTAGACAATACAAATTTTTCTTTATCAGAGTATTATTTTATTCTACAAAGTCAAGAGTCTTTTTATATTTCGTAGGTAAGTAGGTAAAGGGATTAGGACCTGTAGCTCAGTATACTATACAACTATAGTTTCGTTATTGTAAAGGGCCTAGTAGGCAATGTAAAAATGGTATTTTCATACCTTTATGGAGATAAATTATATTAGGTAAATGGATGCCTCGTTGGCCGAGTGGTCGCAAGTGCGATTGAAAAGACTGCCGGACAATGGGTCTCGGGTTCGATTCCCGGGTCGCGCAAAGTACTACTCAGTAGCAGCACGGAGGCTGGAATTGAAGCCGGTATATGGTAATAGGCTCACCCCCTATTACATGGGACTCATACCATAAATAGTGAAAAGTGGGTGTTACATTGTACAGTGGCATTATATGCCGTAATGTGCGCCTCTGCCTATCCCTTCGGGGATAAAAGGCGTGATGTTATGTTACTCTGGAGAGTGTTGGCTTTTTCCAATAACTTCAGTACAAGAAGGTCCCTCACTTCGTCGATGGGCCCACATTAAAGAGGTTACAGCGTGTTTACAACCTCCAGCGGAAGCTACACAGTCCAGACATTGGCACTTCACAATTTTACCTTTAATTTCATCCACCACCATTATAAAGAAGCTCGCACTTTATGTTTAGGACAGATCCTGCATTTGACTATACAAAGGCCAGGTTTACGACGAAATTGGACGTAATCAATGGCATCATTTCCGTAAGATTCTCTTGCAGCTCTAAAAACAAAAATATAGGTACTGTTCTAAATACGAAATTACCTCATATCTAACTTAGCTGAAACTACAATATTTCACTTTACGTAATAATATATCTTACATTAATGCTTTAAATACACACACCTTTACTGATTTATAATAGGTTAGGTACTAAATATTGTAAGGTTACTTAGTAAGTGTGTTAAATGCTTACATAGCTGTTTTCATATTTCTAAGCTCAGCCACATAAAAATCACAGTTATTTTTAAAGAAAACTCCGACCGTTATGGCATCCAATTTTTTTAATGGAATAAACCGGTAAACGAGCAGACGGATCACCTGATGGTAAGCAATCGGCGTCGTCCATGGACACCTGGAACACCAGAGGCGTTACAAGTGCGTTACCGGCTTTTTGGGGATTAGGAGTTAGAGAGATTCAGGGATTGGGGAGATTGGGGAAGGGGAGGGTAATTGGGCCTCCGGTAACCTCACTCACACGACGAAACATAACGCAAGCGTTGCTTCGCGTCGGTTTTCTGTGAGGCCGTGGTATCACTCCGGTCGAGCCGGGCCATGCGTGCCGAAGCATGGCTCTCCCACACTTAGGCAGATTTCTGTCTGTGATGTCTGCTTTCACAAAATTGTCTCTATGATCGGATAGAATTTCACAAAATCACTTTCATATTAATGTATTTTCTCAATTTCAAATTGACATTATTTTGTATGTACATAGTCAATAATAATAATATTAGATATACAACACATGACATTTTATTTACTATATTGTGACGTCATCGTAGAATCGGCCAATCCAGAATGTTTTCAATAATAAGACAAGCTAAAAACATGACGCGATTTTTGGGTGTTTATTTAATAATTAATCTATTATTTTTGAATCTGATTAATGCTCATCGCTTTAAAACAGCATAATCTATGCGAATATCAACAATTACGGTATTATTTTTAATACTGTCAAATAGCCTATTGTGCTCGGTATATGGCAATAGGCTCACCGCTTATTATATGGGATTCATAACAAAAATATTGAAAAGTGGGTATTACATTGTGGCGTCAAGTGCCGTAATGTGCACATCTGCCTAACCCTTTGAGGATAAAAAGGCGTGATGTTATAGGTATATATATATGTTATATATATTAATTGATAAATCAATATCATACATAAAAAGTACAACACACTTAAAACTGAACGTCTGTACCTATTCTTTCTTTAAGAACAATTAAAATTCTAGCTAAATACTATTACAAAGGTCAAGTCGAGCAGCGTCAGTATTAACATACAATGACATCCATCGCTCGTTCGTTCCACAGATAAAAAACGGCTCCAAAGTCAGTAGCAGTAGGGTAAAGAAACAATTTGATACCAATATGTTACAATACGTTGTTTTAGTGTTTGTAATATTGAACATAGTTTGTGACATTAACTACTTGATTAGAACGTTAATCTCAGTTTTAACTGGAAGGCTGTATCAAAGGATATATTCCTTGAATGAAACAACGACAGTATACGGTAAGTGGAAACGTGCTTATGCAGTTAGGTACGTCATTATAATTATTGTAGTGTTGTTAGGTGCTTATATTAGGAAAATGCAATACTTAATGTTTAACTAATAGATTATTAAACTAAGTCCATTACAATTTATTCACGTGTACGATTCAGCTGTTTTAAATTTATATATTTATAATGCGTCAAGGAGAAACGTACCTATAGGTAATTTTTAAAATTCGTACCCATGTACATTGTGGTACCTATGTACTGAACATTGTTAATTTTATATAACAGTTAATCTTAATTTAATCTATTAACATAAAAAAAACTAAATAATAATTCAGTTTTATTTATATTCCCAGGTATTTGTACATTTCAAGACTGTGATATAAACTTCAGAAATATTAGAATAGCCAGGCTGCTTCGAGATCTTGATTTTGCGAGGTATCATTTTTATGAGAGGACCGGAATCTACCAGAGAAGTTGCGAGCTCAAAATCAAATCGTTGCAAGGATGTACACTTACTGTAACCGACGATCCAGTGCCTTTGTTTGCGCTTTATAAAATTAATACCAAGGTAACTAAACTAGTACTTACATAATTACGATGACCCACTTAATTTGCGCATACGAAATAAGTCCTGTGACGAAGCAGCGAGTTGACCATCAATGTCTGACTTTTCACCTTAATTATGTTGGTTTGTTTGGAAATCGTTTTTTAGAAGTCGATTGCACTACAAGTTAATGCAGCAACCTCAGCTGTTTGTACTTACTGCTTGTTGAAATACTTACTTAGGGTTTTTTAACCGCTTGAATGCGGTATATATGCGATACAATATAATATACATTGAGCTTCCCGTGGATCTACGTTTCGACACACGCTGGGTTACTTAAATAAGTATATATTATAGACGTTAGTTGACCATATAATTATGATGCATGTTACCTCAAACGTAGAAATTGATAATACTTCTGTACAACATGTTAAACCATTTTCGAATTAACCAAACTTTCTATTATGTATTTTGTACATTAAATATCTTTGAATTTTCAGCTCGTCTATTGGGATGATCGTTCTTTATTTTTGGAACATGAAGTGGTTACCATACGAGATGGTAAAGTTCGTTCTCTGTTATTATCTAGACAGCACGCGATAGGACAAAATGGGGACTCAACAGACGCCTTACTTGCTAACCTTCCGGGTTCAGAACTACAGCCATCTTGCCCTGAATACATTGAACACTGGCTGGAAAGCATGCGAATAAGCAGCGCGAAATTGAAAAAAGAATCTTTAAATAATTAAAGAAAATTTTAATATTTTTGTTTTTGTTTTTTATTTCAAGTATTTTTGAATTCTATATGCCATTTTCGAAAGTCTAAAATGATAAAGATAATTAATTAATTGGCGGCATTTAATATATCTACTTCTTTTTACTTCTTCGGGGAATATAAGGCGGGATACTATGTTGTTTTCATGTCATTTAATACCTACTTCCTATTGCACAATTTATATGCAGTACAATTACCTACGTGTCGTTTAGAAGTATTAAAATTGCATTAATAAGAGCTACAAAACTAGTTACGCAAGATACTTAATAAGACACTAAGAATAAATAAATTGATAATGGTGATTCTGATTGTCTAACAGCTTAAATATACTAAGTTATCTTTGTAGCTATTTAGAAATGGTCGTGGTTAATATTTTTTGTACATTAAGGTATAGAAATCAATCCAGAAATGTTGAATTAAGATCGATTTTTAATTTTGGCCGTTTAAGCTTTGTCAAGAAGCTCCAATACCTGTTATGTTACCCAAGTGATCTTTTAAAACCGTTAATCTCAGTGCAATGGTTAACACTCCTTGCATTACGTTCCTGAGATTTCTGTCATTTGCATGTTGGACAACCTGCACCTGAATGCAACTATCTTCACGTCACTCCGTTGCAGTGGTCAGTGACTCGGTACTATACGATCTTGTACTTGAACTTGTAAATGTACCTGTACCACTTTACAAACGACGAGCAACTGGTCAATAACCACCATTCAGCACTATTCAAGTAACATGCCATCTCTATCCCACCTTAACAGTTAGTAACAAGTTAAACAGGGACAACAGAACTTACAACATTGCTGTCTTTGTCATACTAACGTTATGTCGCGTTAGGAATGTTTATAAGAATACATAATACTTTAAAAAACTTTTATATTACGTTGTCTGCCTAAGAAAACTTAGTGTTGTTTGAGCGGTTATAGTGGTCCTACGGTTACTTTTTGTCATACATTACCGTAGTATTTAG